ACTTCTGCCTCCCAGGTTCAAGTGATTCTCCTGCCTCAGCTTCCAGAGTAGCTGGGATTACAGGTGTCGGCCACCATGCCCAGTTAATTTTTGTATTTTTAGTGGAGACAGGGTTTTACCATGTTGGCCAGGCTGGTCTTGAACTCCTGACCTCAGGTGATCTGCTGGCTTCGGCCTCCCAAAATGCAGGGATTACAGGCGTGAGCCACCATGCCTGGCCATAAATTTGTTAATCTTGGAGTATTATATCACAAAAGTATTGAGGAAAAGCTTGAAGGGAGGATTCATTTTGTGGTTTCAAGTCTAATTGCCTGTAATCGGAGCTGCTCAGGAAGCTGAGGTGGGAAGATTGTTTGAGCCTGGCAGGTTGAAGCTGTAGTGAGCTATGATCACACCGCTGGAGGGAAACTCTGTCCCAGAAAGTAGTAAAACCAAGTGCCTGGTCCCTCCCTTGAGACCCAGGTTACACGAGGCCTTCACTATCCACACTTCCTATGTTCTCCTGACCTATGCTCCCTTTCATTCCGTATACCAACTGGATTTTCTCAAAGCATGAGGTCCTTTTTGTTGTTGTTGAGATGGAGCCTCACTCTGTCGCCAGGCTGGAGTGCAGTAGTGCAATCTCAGCTCACTGCAACCTCAGCCTCCTGAGTTCAGGCGATTCTCCTGCCTCAGCCTCCCAAGTAGCTGGGATTACAGGCACCCGCCACCATGCCTGGCTAATTTTTTGTATTTTTAGTGGAGACAGGGTTTCACCGTGTTGGTTAGGCTGGTCTCGAACTCCTGGCCTCAGGTGATCCACCCACCTCGACATTCCAAAGTGCTAGGATCACAGGCGTGAGCCACCACGAGGTCTTTATTGTTAAAGGAATTATCTTAGAGCTAGCAGCATTTTCTGCAGTGACTTATCCTCACATGGACCTATGGATCTTTATGATGTCCAACAGAAGAATACTAGAGTCCACACAAGCCATCCTGGCCTCAGAGTCAGACTCCCTGCTGTCTCCTGATGCCTGTATTACCACTTTATTTTTGTTTTGGGGACAGGGTCTCACTCCGTCATGCAGGCTGGAGAATGGGGGTGCAATCATGGCTCACTGCGGCCTCAAACTCCCTTGCTCCAGCAATCCTCCCACCTCAGCCTCCCAAGTAGCTGGGACTACAGGTGCATGCCACCATGTCCAGCTAGTTTTTAAAACTGTTTTTGTAGCTATGGGGGTCTCACTATGTTGCCCAGGCTTGTCTTGAGCTTCTGGCCTCAGGCGATCCTCCTGTCTTGGCCTCCCAATTAGCTGGGATTATAAAAATTAGCCAGGCACGGTGGCTCATGCCTAGTTTCTTTTTTTGTAGAGATGTAGTTTTGCTATGTTACCGGGCTAGTCTCGAACTCCTGGCCTCAAGCGATTCTTTTGCCTCAGCCTCTCCAAATGCTGAGATTACAGGCATGAGCCACCACACCTGGTGTATCTTCATTTACATTTTAAACCAAAGACACTACCTGCTGCCTCACCTCTGAGGCTCATGTCCGACTCAAGGGAGTCACTCCTCTGTTTAGAAGTTCCCGGCTGTGTGCAGTGGCTCACTCTTGTAATCCCAGCACTTTGGGAAGCCAAGGTGGGCAGATCACCTGGGGTCAAGAGTCTAAGACTCAACTGGTCAACATGGTGAAACCCCATCTCTACTAAAAATACAAAATTAGCCAGGCATGGTGGCGCATGCCTATAATCCCAGTTACTTGGGTGACTAAGGCAGGAGGACTGCTTGATCCCGGGAGGCGGAGGTTGCAGTGACCCAAGACTGTACCACTGCACTCCAGCCTGGGTGACAGAGAAAGACTCGCTCTCAAAAAAAAAAGTTCATGGCCAGGTGCAGGGGCTCACGCCTGTAATCCGGAGGCCGAGGCAGGCGGATCATCTGAGGTTGGGAGTTCAAGACCAGCCTGACCAACATAGAGAAACCCCATCTCTACTAAAAATAAAAAAAATTAGTCAGGCATGGTGGCACATGCCTGTAATGCCAGCTACTAGGGAGGCTGAGGCAGGAGAATCACTTGAACCTGGGAGGCGGAGGTTGTGGTGAGCCGAGATCGCACCATTGCACTCTAGCCTGGGCAACAAGAGCAAAATTCCATCTCAGAAAAAAAAAAAAGAAAAAAGTTTCTGAGCTGAACTGCTGAATTTCTGAGAGGTGAAGACCACCTGTTCATCTC